GCAATCGTATCCTGCCCGATCTGCGGCAGCCCCACCACCACCAGCACCGCGCTCAACACACACAAACTACTCGACACCCAAAACGGATACTGCGCCGACAGCGTCTCGGAATCCCCCCCCGCCGCCACAATATACGGAAACACCCAGGTGCCCACAAACGCGCCAATCTTCCCCACCGCCGCCGCCAGGCCGTAGTACTGGCCCCTCACGCCCGTGGCGCACGTCTTGGCCGCGATCAAGCCGATATTGTTGCCCGCGCCCAGCTCGCCCAGCGACAGGAACAGGCCGTACACGACCGTAAACGCGCCCACCATGGACGGCTGCGCGAGGCGGGCGTAGTTGGCGGCCATGGCGAAGCCCACGACGGCTTGCAGGGTGACGCCGGCGGCGAGGGCGTAGCGCGGGCCGACGAGGTCCGAGACGGGCGCGCCGAGCATCGTGCCGGGGATGTAGAACAGGTTGATGACCGTGTTCCAGCCGAAGACGGTGGTTAGCGGGGCGGTGGACGAGTCGAAGATGTTGGCTAGGATGGTGGATGAGTAGATGCCGAAGGAGTAGGCGGAGAACTGGGAACCCCCGGGAGGAGGGGGGGGTTAGTGGGGGGTTGGGTTGGGGGATAGCTGGTAGAGGGAGGGCTTACGTCGTAAATGAACCAGATCAGGCTGACTATGAAGAGGCGGAAGCCGTAGAAGCGGAGGACGAGGAGGTAGGGGGTTTTGGCGTGCTTCATGGAGTGCTTCTGGAACTCCTCGGGCTCCTCCACGAAGAAGCGCATGACGAGGAGGACAGCGGGGAAGGCTGCGCCGATGCCGAGGCTGGTGCGCCATATGGTGCTGAGATGGTCGTTGTGGCAGGCTGCTGCCACGACATAAGGCACGAAGGCCCCGAAGACGAAGCCCTATTCTGTAGTTAGCGGGATGTATCTAAGTGTCATGCGAAAGAAAGTACCAACCCAGTCAATCATGGTGTTGGTGAATAGGATGAACCACATGTTCCTCGTCCCGGACTTGAGCTCGCTTGTCGACTCAGCGGCACCCACGCTGCCGGCGGGATACTCTCCTCCGATGCCGATGCCGACCTGTCACGGTGTTAGTCCCCCCGGGGTCGACATGACAGCGATGGTGGGTAACTTACAAAGAAACGCCAAGCGGTCAGTATGTTAAACATACCCACTGCATCACCATGGTAATACGACCCGGCGGACAAGGCTGTGAAAATGAGTAGGATGATGGTTGAGAGAATGAGCGAGTTCATGCGTGACCATTTGTCAGACCTGTGGCACCAGTCAGTTCTCCTATTCTACGAAAACAAGTGAACCATAATCGCTGAAGGTTACTCACAGATACCCAAACACAAGCTGCCCAACCACAGTCCCCGCGAAAGCAATATCACCCAGGTAATGCTTCGCATTGGATGCCTTCCACACATCGCCGTACTGGATCGCCAGAATGGTCACGACCGACCCGATGACCTAAACTCACATTGTCAGCGACGCGTATGAGCCCGGACCTCTAGGATGGCAGAAACACACGCACATTATTGATATACCCGTCAGAAAACAAGCCCGCGCCGCAAGCCATCACAGGTAGGATGGATTTCCATAGCGACTTCTTCTCCGTCGGTGGCTCGACCACCTGAGCATTCTCAGTGTTGAGGTCTGGCTTTTTGGAACCAAACAACATGATTGCGACGTTGGAGTTCTCAGCTCCCTTGTCTGAGCGCGAGGGCCGAGGAAGGATGATGAGGAAGGATAATGAGAAACGCAGCAAGGCAGGCGAGATCCGTGGGGGTAATTGAGAAAGGGGCGGGGGAGGAGGTTGGGCTTAAATAGTTTAAGGAAATGGCACGTAGTAGTTAGAATCCTACGAGAGGCTCAAGTTTATGGGATACGATCGCATTGCATGTTATGGGTGCCAGTGTGCCTGCAGCGAGCTATGCGCTGAACTTGTGATGAAGGGATGTTAGGTAGGTAAGTCAGAGTTGCTTGATGTGCAGGTTCTGAACTTCCATGATAAGCATTTCACGGCATCTATGAATGCATCGTCTTCGTACGCCCCTTCCATGAGGCCCTGCGGGATCTAACCTCCCCCCCAACCCCCAACCAACCCAGGAAGAAAAAAAAAGGTCAAGGGTGAGCTGGTTGGGTGCCTTGGAAGACAATGTGACCTCAACCTCCTGCCTTTTCGGGTAAGTTTTTACAGTGCCGCAGAGACTACTCCTTTCTTTCATTGGGTGTTTAGCTCGGCCGTGCCGACTTGAGTCGCTAAAAATTTGCAGGCCTCGTCGTGGATGCCACCGATGTCTTAAACCCGGAGAACGGGCATCCATCAGAGCTGTCACGGGTGGAAACCAAGCTCATTGCCCAGCCGGACAAGCTTTGGAAATGCCACCGCTAATGCACGATTCCTCCTTGGCGTCTTGGCAGTGCGGTGAGCTCGCGTGACAGGTTAGGTCACTATGGTGAGTGTGCTGCTGTGGTTTGTAGTCCGAGAGTTGGAGAGTTGGAAAACAAGTTGACACTTGCCAATGTTGAACGCTGCTTGGGTAATTACACTACAAGGTCGTTTGGGGGTATGTTAGGCGTTGGATACTAGATATATGCCTTATTCTCAACGTGAAGGCTGGATAAGCTTAACCATACCTGCACATGTCCCTTGTCACCTTGGGTTCAAGCTGGGACACACCGTACCTATTGTGCCTACGTCATTTCTAACTTTTATGCCTAAAGTCAACGCCCTTGAAAGAAGGTCTCTCAGATAGATGGTTGGTAATTTAACTAGCCGACTGGCTAGGTAGCTAGAATCGCACTAGACTGCCTTTTCGAATCGCAGAAACAGCCGTTCCTTCTCGGGCCGACTGGTGTAGCCATCCGACTGGTTCTCCATACCATCGTCGTCGACGATATGACTAGTATAATTTGAGTAAATGGCAGCAACGATGAGCTTCATCTCTATGACTGGTAAGCTTTTGTGTCTATGGGTGGTTTAGAAACCGACTCACCGTGCATGGCAAAATGGGACCCAATACACATCCGACCCCCTGAACTGAAAGCCCAGAATTGTCTGTTTCTCTGTTTCAAGGTTTCTTCATCAGAATGGGAAGGAAGCCATCGAGTGTGGTCCCACTTGTTCGGTTCAGAAAAGACGGCTTCATCGCGGTGCAGAGTGTACCCCAAAGCAGCTACCCTGACACCCCCTGGAACTGCGTAAGCCCCAATTCGGCAACCCAACTCCGGTGTTTGACGAGGCTGTGCGCCGGGGATCGGAGCGTGAAGCCGAAGGGTTTCGGTGAGAACGGCATGAAGCAATGGGAGGCTGTCTAGCTGCTTGCTGTCTGGCATGGCTGAGGTACTGTTTCCCGTTAGCCGCATATTGGGTGAGAGACTCAACAGTTCCGCCCGGAGCTGCTCCTGAAGTTCAAACGACTGGGACAACCGCCATGCGAGGTAGGTCAAGGCCAAACCGGCTGTTTCTTGTCCGGCCAGGACATGGTCGAATAGCTCAGAAGCAACCGATAGCTTGAAGTTAGACAGAGCCGTCGGATACAACACCGAAGCCTTTCCCCGCTTGGTCTCTTCATTTCGCAAACCGTTGATCAAAGAATCCCAGACGACAGGTTGATCCAAGGGTCCGATTGGGAGGTGATGGGAGTCGACGGCATGTTCCATTGTGGTACAGAGACGCTGGAACCACTTCCCAAGTTCCTCGTTGGCCTTGTCCGCCCACTTGGGACAGAGGGGGATGCCGAATCTGCGGCAGAGCTTAGTGAGCCGGGGCATCTCCTGATCGTAGTACCCGTAATCGTTACGAGCCTTGTACAGCTCGAGGAAGTGGTCTCGAAACGCCTTATCGCCGAGGAAATCGGTGCCGTTCTTGAGTCCGAAGATGTAGGCCGCTATAAAATCCATGGTCGCTGCCATGAAGACCGAGTAGATATCAATACCACGGGGATTCTGAGTCTCGTCTCTCGAGGCCTCAAGAATTGGTAGGAATCTGTCATATAGGATGACTTGTGACTGGGCTGCTGCAGCCGCACTCGACTGGATGTAGGAGTTGGAGTACACGTGGGAGATTAACCGCTTGCGCGCCGAGTGCTCTGCGCCAGACCGGGCCGAGAACATGCAGGGCACACTTCAACGGTGTTGTGTAAGCGAAGGCCCTCACTCTCATCTTCAAATCTCTTGCCATACCCATAGTTGTCAAAGACCGAGTACCAAGCAGGCTTCTCAAAACCACCCTGGTAGATGGTGCGGACGTTCTCAAGGCCATCGACGCTGAGCTCATTTGGGCCCAGGCGAATGACGGGACCAAGCCGGCGATGGGCATTGTGAAGAGTCTTGTTCTCTCGATGCACGAACCGGACCCAGAGAATCCAGGTCCTTGAGAAGGGAGCGGACCAGTGGGCGTTGGGGATGCGGGACAGAGGCGAGAAGAAAGTGGGATGAATCAATAGTCGGTAAGTAAGAGCCGCCACTATTGTGGCCACAGCTGCGCCAGCCCAGTCATAGATATGACCCATTTCCCTTGTGTGCCTGTCCAAGCCTTATAATAAGCGAAGAAGAGTCAGATTTGATTGAGTTGTTAGTGGTAAACTTTCCGAGGCCACCTATCAACAGACTGAGGCCCCCTGTATTTCAGCGGGGAAATGCCCATAGGAGTTAGCACATTCCTTCCCATGACTCAGTAACAGATTGGGCCAATGGCTGCCTTCAGCGCAAGTGTCACATCTTTCTGATTGACACTTTCAAGTTCACGTTGAGCGATTGTTTGGTTTGTTTAACATCGAGGCAGCTCCTCCAGAGAAACAAACTGCAATTTTTGACAACGAACAACAACAACAAAAAAAAAAAAAAAACCCCGCGATAAGCCGAGACCAAAGCAGGCTTTATTGCAGCCAAAGGATGGCTCCTCGACTTGCGGAGCTACCCGACGATATCCTCTTTCTGGTCTTTGCCAATTTGGAAAGCGCTCGGGAACTATGGGCTCTCGCACTTTCCTGTCACAAATTCCGGCAACTGGTCCAGAGCGATGGGTGGCGCATTTTTGTCAGGAACAGGTTCCCGACCCTCAGTGTCCCAGCTCCGGCTACAGGAAGCCACACATGGCAGCAACTGGCCGAATCGATGACTTGGCAAAGTCGATGCTGGGATAAGCGGTCCCTTCAGTTCCAGGTCCTACTTCCTCGTCGCCCCGACCCTACCCATGGGAGGCACGGGTGGCGGCAAAGAGACCCCGTGACTGCGTTCATGTCTGTTGTTGACGCTCACCTTGACCTTGCTACCCAACAAGAGCTTGCAGTGTGGGGCGCCGGGGAGGATATCGTCGCTCGCTATCGGGAGCGACAAGGGCGAGGCAAGGTTTCGAAAACCTCCTGGCAGAAGCTAGAAGGTGGAAAGCTCGGTCTCAGCGGCGGCTATGACGACGTGAATACCATCAAAATCGTCAAGCATGGCAGTGGGCGAGCCATCGTCGCGGGACGGCATAACGGTGTACTGTCTCTCCTGTCCGCTGAACCAGACCGTTTCGGGGAGCATATTGCCCAGTTTGTTTCTGCTACCGACCCGGGGATCAGCACCCGTCAGCTCTCCGAACCGGGCACCATCAACGCTCTAGATGTCGTTGACAGCAGCAAGGGCACGTTGGTTGCTGCCGCTTCCAAGTCCGACTTGAGGATTTACGGTCTATCGGAGGAGCATTCTGGGGAAATAGCGCCTTCCACGTCCTACGACTTGAAAGAAAGGGATCTGATGCCTAGTTCTGCGAGGCTGGGTGGCGCCAAATGGATGGGAAACGGAGAGTCCATAGCACTTGCTGTGGTTGGCTGCAAAGACCCTCTTCGTTATCTGGCTCTTACACCCACAGGGTGGTCTCACCATGCCGTTGGGAAGAGCAGGAGGATAGAGGATGAATTCGACGTCGGCTCTGACAAGACTATCTCCCCAAACTCTCTTGAGCCAGTCTACCTACATTCAGGGGCTAAAAGGGGAACAAGCTTGCTCCTCAGTTCGTGGAAAGACGGCACGATAAGGTACGTACGTCCCTGTCTTCCTTTGTAACCCCTCGTGCTCACACACCACGCAGACTCCAAGACCTCCGCACATCCTCTTCTTTCGACGCCGTGTATCAGGATAACGTGGATCCATGGTCCGTCGCCGAATCCCTCATGGCCTACGGCACAGAGAGATTTGTAGCAGGCGGTGGAGATGGGCTCACGCTTCAGGTGTTCGACTTCCGGTGGACGAAAGGTTACTACCACACCTCTGGCCTTTCGTGCCTCGACCGCGCCCCCTTCCCGCGGCCTCACCAGCCCTTTATGAAACCGGCCGGCATCGAAGGGAAAGGCAGGGCGCGCTGTGACCATCTCCTGGGCCTACCCTGCCGCTGGCATGAGCTCTCAAAACATCTCTACTATCGGCCCAACGCCAAGTACTTTCTCTCCAACTCACTCCGATACTTCAAATTGTGCAGCGTATGGTCCCTTGCCCGGCCTTCGGACGTCTCGCCCAACTTTTACGTCGGCATCTCGGGGGGAGTCGTTGAAGTGAACTTGGAGCAAACGCCCGACACCTACCCCCCCGACACCTTCACGGTTGACCCCAACTTTGGAGCCGGCGACTGGAGAGCGGTGGCGCCTCCCGCGAGTAACTATAAGAGCCAGCCGCTCGTTCCTGCCTTGATGGAAACGGGAGATGGTTATTCTTACTCGGGGAATGATCGATCGATCTTGTTGCCGGGCTTGGTTCGCTACCAAGGACCGGCAGAGTGGATGGTGAACCGGGGCCCGCTGGCGAAGCATCATCGGCTTGACAACGGGTACCAGGAGCCATCGGATTTTGGAGCGGACCCTAAACAGATGTTCAAGGAGTTTGCGGATCCCAGATTTTCCATTCGTGGGATTGTCCAAGAATTTGAAGAGCGGGCATGAACATAGAATTCTGGCTGGACTTGCAGAAGCAAAAACGTTTGAGGGCCTGTGGACGGGAATTTTTGTCCTTTTCTCTCATATCACCGTGCTTGTGCTTTCACAATGTGTATGCCGTATATTCTTATCTCCACACTCAAGAGGTTATCTCGAGTTCTTCGACCCAAGCTTGAGACTTCTCGGGTCTTGATACCGCGAGACAAGGGTTAGGGTACAATATCTCCAGGCTCAAGGGCCCAACCACGCGCCAAGCAAGCCCGAAAAGCGAGCAAGTCACGAGGCCGACTTTGGCCAAAATTGAATGACAATCAGATCCATGGCCCCTGAAGAAATAGCCCAAGAAAATCTCAGGTGACCAAGTCACCTGCCATGAGAACTCTCCCCAAAGCCGAGCTCACGTCCGTCAATGGCTAGGGCACCCGACTCGTGCATTTCGTTGATTCGAGGGACTTCACTTGCTTCAAGGGCCAAGAAATGCCCGGAGTTCTGGATGCGGGACCCTGGCGGGTCTCGTTCGGGACAAAGCGTATCCCGGCATGCTTGCCGTCCCGGGAAATCCTCTTTCGGGAGTGGGACGGCTCAGACGGGCGTTGGCGGCTGTGTCAGTGTAGCCCTTGAGCAACCTCCACGGAGTTCAGGGATCGATCTCCCAAGGTCCCGTTCCTCTCGACCGGAGACGCTCCCTTCTTCAATATGGAGATGCATTTCGGGTGAGACATGGGAAGGGTTGCAGCAGCACTGGGAAGTTGAGTTGTTGCTGGAGATAACAGGCATTTCAAATTCCTGACCAACAGCAAGCCAGCTTTTCCCGGCCCTGGAATTGGAAACTGGCTGGGGGGGTGTGCTCTGATGTCAGTCAGCCGCCCCTGCCCCGCAACACCCCTCCATAGCCCGTGCTCTGCCGACGGCGGCCGATGAAGGGGCGTTTTTTGTGGGAGAAGGAACCCGAACACGTACGTAACGGCGCGCAGCTCACGTATCATGTACCCTTTTTGTTGGGGGGGGGGGGGGGGTACCGGGGCCTGGGCCGTGTGGACGGAAGATTCCCGGGTGATAGATGGGCCAGGAACGGGAAGGGGTTGTGTGCGATTGCAAAAGGAGGTAGGGATGCCGTTCGGGTGCACTAATAAGAGCCTATTCCTTTCCATCCTGCTCCTAAATACCTTGCTTGAGCTATTAGACGCAAATCGGTTCCAGGTGATCGTCCGTTGTTCTTAACCTTCCTCCTTACCTTGATGTCTGTGATTCATCACCCGCACTCATTCTCCACTTGACATCATCCTTCCTTTCTTGTTTGTTGTCTCCCCTTATTCCTCGACCGTTTCCTTCCGCAGAACACTGCCAAGGTACTGCTGCCTACTCCATCTACCACGATACCTTTGAGAATAGCAATCGAAGCTTCAGTTGTTTGTAATTGAAGCGCCCAAGGAGCGAATATAATCTAGGCCGGAAAAGGAGACTATACAACACACACCGACGTCACAATGGCTTCAAACGGGAGCAGTCCGGCCGAGGGGGAGAAGGTCAACACCCATATCGTCACCCTCACCCGGTTCCTCACAGAGGAGCAAGTAAAACACAAGGAAGCCACCGGCGACTTTACGTACGGCACCCTCCCTAATCCCCCCTACTGTTCTTTGTCTAGAGGGGATCATATAGCTCTTGGCTGACCACTCCTCCCAACCCCCCAGACTCCTCTGCCACGCGCTCCAATTCTCGTTCAAGTCGATCGCGTACTACATCCGGCGGGCGACGCTGGTCAACCTGACGGGGCTGGCGGGGTCGTCCAACACGACGGGCGACGAGCAGAAGAAATTGGACGTCATCTCTAACGACCTGTTCATCGAGGCGATGCGGTCGAGCGGGCGGTGCGCGCTGCTGGTGTCGGAGGAGGAGGAGGACATCATCTTCTTCAAGGACAGCACGAACGCGCGCTACGCCGTGGCGTGCGACCCCATCGACGGCAGCTCCAACCTGGATGCGGGGGTGTCGGTCGGCACCATCTTCGCCATCCACAAGCTGGCCGAGGGCTCCACGGGCACCAAGGAGGACATCCTCAAACCCGGGACGGAGCTGGTAGCCGCGGGCTTCACCATGTACGGCGCGTCGGCGCAGCTGGTCATCACGATGCGCGGCGGCAGCGTCAACGGCTTCACGCTCGACAACGGCCTCGGCGAGTTCATCCTCACCCACCCGGACATGCGCCTGCCCCGCAGCCGCGCCATCTACTCGGTCAACGAGGGCAACTCGCTCTACTGGGAGGACAACGTCAAGCAGTACTTTGAGTCGCTCAAGGAGGCCCCCGAGGGTGGCAAGCCCTACAGCGCCCGCTACATCGGCAGCATGGTGGCCGATGCCTACCGGACCTTGTTGTATGGTGGTGTCTTTGCGTACCCGGCTGACAAGAAGAGCCCCAAGGGCAAGCTGCGCATTTTGTACGAGTGCGCGCCCATGGCGATGGTGTTTGAAAATGGTAAGCCTGATTGATGATGCCCCTGCGGCCCACCTGCGAAATCATTGGCAGCAGACTAACATTCCCGTTCTTCACTCTTAGCCGGCGGTCAAGCGGTCAACAGCAAGATGCAGAGGATGTTGGAGGTGGAACCTGAACACATTCATGACAGGTCGGGCATTTTCATGGGCAGCTATGACGAGATCGAGAAGGTCAAGCAGTTCCACAAGTGAGCGTCGAGAGGAATGAATGATGAGCATGTTGGATACCTGGGTGTGCAATTGGAGCAGCTAGCTGCCTGGTTGCTGCGCGCGACAGCACCTTGCTGCGACCAACCCCTCGTTGCCCAGCGGAGCACCCTCTGAAACCGCTAAAGGATGATGTGGCGATTGCGATAATCCCCCAAATGTTTGATAATGGCACGTGAGAATATCATATCAAGAGCGACATGTGTTCCATGAATTGATAAATCCATCCGGTATTTGCATTGGGGTCGTCTCATGCTGTTTTGTTGATCTCGGAACAGGACAGGAAATCTGGGGAAGACGGGAAGCACACAAAATGTGGAAGCGGCGCGGCTTCCCCAAGCATGTGAACGGCTTCGGGCGGGTGCTGAGAAATGCACCCCAGGCAACGCTAAACTGTATGCGGCAATGCCTCGGCCTTTCTGACATCACCTGGGCCACCGCCACGGCAAGGCCAACCGACTCGTGGACCGAGTTCCAGAGTTTCGACGGAAAAGTCCATGAGCCGCCGCCCGAGGTAACTTTGCATCCATCCTCTTCAGAGAGTGGGATTGGTGCTTTGCCTTATAAACTGCTTCTACTACATTGCTGTCTAGCACATCCTCTACCAAATCATCACCAAAAGTCTCTTTCTCGTTGACATCTCTCCCTTTGTTGTTCAACGTCTCCTCCTCTTCCTCCCACATACACATACTTCACAATGGGTGGTATGTTATTGTCTCTCCCTCGGCTTAGTCGGAATTTACCCCCTCTCTGACACGATGCATCCGCAGCTCTTGACAGACTCTCCCAGCTGGGTGGCCAGATCTCTGGCGGTGCTGCCGCTGGCGGCAAGGCCAAGCTCCTCGAGAAGAACCCCGACGATGTACGTTTGGGTTCCCGATCGCGACCTACTGCCGCTCGCATGCGCTAACTGATCTGCCTCCAGATTGTTGTCACAGCAGCCCTCCGGACAGCCATCTGCAAGGGCGGCAAGGGGGCGTTCAAGGACACCTTCGCGGCTGACCTCATGGCCGGCGCGCTTAAGGGCGTCATCGAGCGCTCCAAGATCAACCCGGCCCTCGTCGAGGATATCGTTGTCGGTACCGTGCTCGCCCCCGGTGGCGGTGCCACCGAGATGCGCGCCGCCTCGCTCGTCGCCGGCTTCCCCGACTCGACCGCCGTCCGCACCCTCAACCGCCAGTGCTCGTCCGGTCTCCAGGCATGCGTCGACATCGCCAACCAGATTCGCGCCGGCATGATCGAGGTCGGCATCGGCGCTGGCGTCGAGAGCATGTCGACCCAGTACGGCCCGGGCGCCGTCGCTGAGTTCTCCGAGCTCCTCGAGTCCCACCCCGAGGCTGCCAACTGCAAGGTGCCCATGGGCGTCCTGTCCGAGAAGATGGCCAAGGACCGCAACATCACCCGCGCCAACCAAGACGCCTTCGCCGCCGCCTCCTTCAAGAAGGCCGCCGACGCCCAGGCTGCCGGCCTCTTCAAGGAAGAGATCCACCCTCTCAAGGTCAAGTTCGAGGACCCCAAGTCTGGCGAGACGAAGGAGATCGTCGTCGACCGCGATGACGGCGTGCGCCCCGGCGTGACGGCCGAGTCGCTCGGCAAGATCCGCGCTGCCTTTGCAAAGGACGGCTCGATCCACGCCGGCAACGCCAGCCAGGTCAGCGACGGCGCCGCCGCCGTGCTGATGATGAAGCGGTCCACCGCCGAGAAGCTCGGCCAGACCATCCTGGGCAAGTTCGTCGCCGCGTCCATCGTGGGCGTGCCCCCCCTGCTCATGGGCGTCGGGCCCTGGAAGGCCATCCCCAAGGTCTTTGAGCTCACCGGCATCACCAAGGACGACGTCGACATCTACGAAATCAACGAGGCCTTCGCTAGCCAGTGCCTCTGGTGCGCCAACGAGCTGGGCCTGCCCCAGGAGCGCATCAACCCCAAGGGCGGCGCCATCGCCTTCGGCCACCCGCTCGGCTGCACCGGCGCCAGGCAGGTGTCGACTCTGCTGTACGAGCTGAAGCGCACGGGCAAGCAGATTGGGCTTACGTCCATGTGCGTTGGTACGGGTATGGGTATGGCTGCCGTGTGGGTGGCTGAGTAAAGGGGGCAGGGGATAAAAGAGGGGGGGGCTTTTTGTATACCTATTTTTTTCTGTTAATGACATGATGGCTGTGTACTCTTAGAGCAATGCATGCGGGTTTGGTTACATGGACAGACGCAAGATCATACAAGCGGGATACCTTTCTTCGTGATAAACTGCTGTGTATGGTTCCCGATGTGAAGTGGGTGCATCCTTTTAAAGTTGCTGTTGCTTTTCATCTTGATAGTTACGACCTCGTCATGATCCTCAGAGTTCATCTCACCAATTCATTACTGCTGATAACTCCGTCGGTAGCAATCTAGGTAGCCATATTGAGTTCTGTATAGTTAATTTCTCCCCCCAAACACCTTCGTCCCCTTGCGAGCATTTTCATGGCCTTGAAACGCACAGCTCCTGGTCATTCATTGCCTAGCCCCCCGTGCTCACATCGCAAAGAACACCCTGAAAAGCCACCCTCAACAAAACCAGACATTCATAAGTATTCTCTAATCATGCTACCACCCTTCTGACGGGCGCATGTAAAACGCGAAACTGCCCGATAAAACACCATCCCCTGTCCGAGGAACCTACCCCCTATGAGCAAAGCAGCTCAACCCGAACGCCCCAAACCCTAATCCCGTTCCTCCAAGATCCCATGGTACAGTACCACCGGTAAGCTAGCCACACACAGCCCCAAGAATAATAGCAAAGTAACCTTGCCGGGGGGCCCGTCACCGCCCTGACTCTCATCTTCATGCACCGACGCCCACGCCCTCGCCCTCGCCCTCAACAAGCAAACTGGGCGGGGGCCCGCCCGAAACAGAGGAGGCTACCGCCTCATCCCCATCCTCATCCATGGCAGCAGCAGCACCACAAACACGCGACGACGAAGCAGCCCCAGCCTCTTCCTTCTTCCCCTCCACACCCTTCCCCTCCGCACCATCACCCCCATCACCAACCGCCACCCCGTTCCCCTTCCCCTTCCTCACCACCAAACCCGACTCCGACCCCAACCCTTTCTCCAACCGCGACGCGGCCCAGTCCCTCTAGTCCTGGCTGCTCGCGCTCAAATCCATATTATTCTTCTCCCACATCATGCGCAGCAGGGCCACCGTGCCCGCGTCCTCAGCCCCATCAACCAGACTCGCCCCGCTCAGCCCATGCCCATGGCCGTGGCCGTGGCTGTGGTTATGGCCCAGCGCGTGCGCCCGGCGCTCGTGGTGTTGTATCCTACCGTTGACGCGATCGTCGCCGTCGTCGGTGCCGAGGCTGGAGCTGGCGCTCTGTAGGGTGGAGAAGACGCCGTTGGTGGTGGCGTTGGTTCGTGGGGTGGGGGGCCGTCTGGCGCTGGTGCTGGCGCCGCCGTTCATTAGGTCGGTGACGCTGGAGTTGCGGGTGAGGGGCTCGCGCTGGTTGGGGTGGAATTGTTCCGAGAGGCGCGAGGCGTGGTGGGTGGAGGACGCGGTGGCCGGGCGGGGGATGCGGCGGCTGTTTTCGAGGCCGGGAAGTTGCATGACGCGGGCGATGGAGCGGGCGACGGGGTTGAGGTGGCGCCGTACTGTGAGGTACTCCATGCCTGTTCGCTCAAGCGCTTTGTTGATGCGCGGGTCGCGGGTGTCGTAATTGTTCGGTACGCCTATGAGGGGCCCGGTGCCGGCGGTGACGCTTGGCGCGCCCATTCCTATCCCTGAGTGGGGAGGTTCTAGGCTCGAGCTCGCCCGTTGCAGGTTAAGCTTTTGTTGGGTTCTGTTCATCTCCCGCGGCAGGGCGTACTCGCCGCTGCGTCGCGAACGGGGTACCCGCGCGATGCGGTCGTCCTCATCCTCATCGTCGCTGGCATTGCCCGCGGCCGCTCGACGAGCGTTTAACGCGTCAATGCCTCGGGCTTGTGATAGGGCACCCGCAGATCGCCGTCGCTTGGGCAGGTTGATATCGTCCGTGGTATTTAATCCGGCTCTTGGTGGCCCATTCCTGTGCGCAGCCAGGATGAACGATTCACCCGCTATCCCAGATCCCGGCTCCTGACTATTGTTTCCTACAAACCGAGAGGTGAGCTCCGCCTTCCCACTGCTGCCCGGCCGGGGCTGGGTTGTGGTAACGGGGGTATTGGAAAGGTATTGACTCGGACCCGGGCTCGAGTCCGGAGGCGACTGCTGTCGTAAGGAGGCCGGGCGGGCCGAGGCGTTTTCGGTCGACATCATGGGTGGAGCGCCGTTTGAAGAGGTTCTTGACAAAATTCGGGATGTTAGGTATTCGTTGTGTGCCGTTTTGTTGTTGCGAGGGAGACTGCTGGCGGCGTACTGTGTGCCGCCTGTCGCGCCGTTTGGCGTGCCGTTTTGCGAATCAGTTTGTGGCCCGTTGCTCAAGGTGCGCTGGAGCTCAGCGTGTGGCGTCGGCGACCCGACTAGCGAATCTTCGTCGTCGACTGCGGCATTGGTTGTGTACGCGGAACTGACGGCAGACCCGCGGCGGGAGAGCAAAGGTGAAGCAGACGAGCTGGCGTCTACCCACTCGTCGTCGTCGTCCTGGTCCTCGTTCTGCTCCTCGTCACCAAGATTGAATTGGACCTTGGAGTTTCCTGGGGATCTCAATTTATGGACCGCAGGACTCGATATGGAACGTTGGAGGTTGATGGCCGACTTTGTCTTCTTTCCAACCTCTGCCTGTGAGCGATTGCGTTTCAAGTTCGTTTGTGAGGTGTTCTTTTTGAGATTGGACGAGGACGGGTCGCGCGACAGTTTCAACTCGGAGGTCGCTCGTCGGTGGTGATGGGACGCAATCGCGGCGCCGGGTCCTCGATCGGGGGAAAGCGACCCGTGTCTTCGATTCAACTTCGCTGTTGATGTGGCGGCATGGTGTTTCTGGAGACCTTTCGAGGATGGGTTCCGTGCATGAAGACGCCCGCCCACGACGTGTTTCTGGCCCTTCGCCCGGTACTGCTGCTGAGGAAGTTGCTGCTGTGGTTGGTCGCTCACATCTGCGGCGGGTGGCTTTTTTGATTGGTTGGCGCCCAACCCGTCGCTCTCTCTGTCTCTCGCCATGACAGGCTGACTTGTTTCTTTGTGCGCCCTATTTCTCCCTAAACTTTTGCCCGAGCAGTGCTGTAGGAGTGCCTTTCTGACGTGGAATCGGTCGCTGGGTGCAGGAACGCGCCGTTGGGCAGCGGATCGTGACGCAAACAAACCACTGGATGTCTAACGGCAGAATCAATCAAGTCGCTGTTGACTGGCAGGGTAATTCGTCATAGGCAAGGTGGGGGCCGTCAGCGTGAGAAGGCCGTGATTGGGGATGTTCTCGTCGACGGTGAGACTTGTACAACCAATTGGTTTGGGCCTCCTAGATATGTGATATCGGAAGCGGCAGGAAACCGAAAGCTGGCTTTTGAGGAGGCAATTCTTTCGATTGGGCGAGTTCAAAAAGGGACTCCTTGTCCGAGTTCAACCGCTGTGACCGAACACCAAAGCGGTGACGGAACGGGTGGAATAATCGAGATGCTGATTGGAGAGAAGAGTGGATGACATCTCCACCCCCACAAGAACGTCTGCGAACTCAAACTGCCAGAACTTTTCATGTGAGTAACGGCCGGCTGATTCGATTACTTACCGCGTATGGTAACTTACGAGATACCGCTGCAGAAGCCGAGAAAGTCTTGGCTGGAAATATGAGGTCCGTGCAGACATATCCAATTTCTGGCTATTGATCTGGACCCCGCCACTTTCAACAGCCACGACAACGGAGATTGTGTTTCATTGTTTTGGCAATCTACGCAGTTTCACGTCCTTGGATATCAAAATGAGCGCCCAACTCGAAACGGAACGCAAGGAATATGAGAGCCAGGTAAGATTGAGGCGGTCAAATCGATCCAGACAGAAGCCAGGACTGACATTTGACAGCTCGAACTAGTCATCACGTCTCTCAAAGAGGACCCCGATAATGCCGAACTGCAGGGGCTTCGGAGTGAGCTGGAGCAGATGATCCAGCTGCTCGATGATTCTCTCGCCGAACTAAAGCCCAAGAACGAACCCGCAAGCGTCGCGCCGAAGAAGGCGCCATCGCCACCGCCGACCGAGCAAAAGTGGTCACGCGAGAACCACCCAGCATTCAAAAAAGCTGCGCCCGCGGAGGAGAAAGAGAAAGAACCCGAGATCATTGCGTATCAGGTCAACGACAATGTCATGGCAAAATGGCTCTCGGGTGACAAAGGCTTCTATCCGGCGCGCATCACCGCGGTGACTGGTTCGTCCACGGCACCCATTTACACAGTCAAGTTCAAAAGCTATGACACAGCAGAGACCCTGCGTGCTAAGGATATCCGCCCGGTCGCACAGAAGCGCAAGGCTGACGGTACTGCCGTCTCGACCAACAGCAACGCCATCGGCGGTTCGGCGGCGACAGCTACAGCTAGCCCTTCGTCACTGACCCCGACCTCGACTAACAATGGCATCGTCATGTCTGCGGCGGCTGACATGTATCCTCAGGCGCAGGCGGCAGGAAAGGCGGGAGCGGACGACAACGACGAGAAGCCACGGCCCAAGTTCAAGAAGATTAAGGCTACAAAGGAGCTCGAAAAGGGCAAGAACAAGTGGCAGGAGTTTACCACCAAGGGGAAGTTTGGCAAAGCGGGAAAGAAGGACAGCATGTTCCGCACACCCGACGGAATCCATGGCCGAGGTGAGTAGCCCAACAACCTTCCCGGATCTGACACATCTGCTAACCTCAGTATAGTTGGCTTCACCGGCTTCCGGGCAGTCAATGGCCAAAAGACCCTACCAGGAGCCGCCATGTGTACCAGCCCAACGAAGAATTGGACTAGACTGACATGGTCTTCTTTCATTCGAGAAACGCCGTTACGGCCTGGAGCGGAAGAGACGCGCCCGCATAAAGGGGCAACGACCAGTAGCGCTCGGTTTTATCGAAGGACGGCATCATAGGTTGGAGTTACGGTTTGGGATGAAGCTTGGTTTACATTCTTTTCGACCCTAATTACTCTCATTTCAAACGGACGCTAACGTGGTCTCGGAGCCAAACCCGCTAGTCGATACGCTGCTGCTCCTGTCTTATTTGACAAGGCCCAGAAAAACTTTAGAATTAGCCGTGGTATATATTTGAGATACCCTGTCCTGCACAACTCAATGTGTTTTACAAGCATTGCTTTTGCGTGTTCTATAAATGAATGTGTTTGACGACGCTATTCATGATTGTCGTCTCGCCTCTTTCCCAAACTAAAGATATTGATACACTCATATGATACATAACACCGTAATCTCTCCTATACAACCCATCATACAGCATCCCAGAACATGCCAACCTCACTCTCGGGGGACAAACACGGAGCCTAGTTAACTTCTAACCCAACCTTCGCGGCCAACTTCCTCGCAACATCCATAAACACGGCCGCGCGCTCCGACTCGGGCTCCGCCGCGACAGTCGGTTTCCCCCGACTCCCATCTTCCCCAATATTCGGATGCAGCGGCACATCCCCGAGCAACTCGATCCCGCTATCCTTGCACATAGCCACAACCCTCCCCTTCCCCCCAAACACCGCGGTCTCCCCCCCACAACACGGACACTTAAACAAGCTCATATTCTGCACCAGCCCCAATACCGGCACCCCAACCTTCCCAAACATGCCCACCCCCTTCTAAGGCATCCTTCACCGCCAACACATGCGGCGTCGTCACCTCCACTGGCCCCATCCAACGGCACCTGCTGCGCAATACTCAGCTGCACATCCCCCGTCCCCGGCGGCAAGTCCAACACCAACACATCCACCCCTCCCCCCCCCCGCGCCGTCCAGTCCACCTCATGCAACAGCTGCTGCACGGCCTTGAGCAGCATCGGCCCACGCCACACCACGGGCGCCGCCTCGTCCCGCGACAAGTACCCCAGCGACATGGTCTGCACGCCGTACGCCGTCAGCGGGATCAGCTGGTTGTGCGCGTTCAGGTAGGGCTCCGTGTTGGTCAGGTCGAAGAGCGTCGGGATGGACGGCTCGAAAATGTCCGTGTCGAGGATCCCGGCGCGCAGGCCCAGCCGGGCGAAGGCCAAAGAGAGGTTGGCGGCGAAGGTGCTCTTGCCCACGCCGCCCCTGGCCGATGAAACGGCGATGATGTGCGAGACTCCTTTGATCGCGCGCTTGGTGGGGAGGCCGCGCTGGAAGCGTGGGATGCTCCCTTTTTGGGGGAGACCCTGGGGGGGTGGTTAGGGAAATGCAAGATGTTGACCATCTGGGCGGGTATGAAAAGTGACTTACAAGCGGGTTCTCGTGGAGGAGCACACGTGTGGTGTGAAGGAACCGGCGGGGGATGTGGGATCTCATGGTGAATTGCTTTTGGATATTACCATTATGGGGTTTATTGTATTTTAGCCGTCGTCAATGTACGTTTTTATGTGACGAATATGTCGAGCTTCAACTGATGTTGATGAGCTCTGATAGCATTGCGAGCGAGAGCTTCCATGAGACGCTGTAATCAAGGTCCCACAGCACCCCACTGTGCATGCAGCAGTGGGTTCTGCCACCGCTCACCGCCAAAATTTCCTCGCTGCTGGTTCTGATCCCCTGAAAATTTCCATGTGGGGTGTCAATCGAGAATCCTCTGTCTTCCAGTATTCCAGAGCGCAAATCACCACCATGTCGGCAACACGCAAAGGCCGGTCTGGCCGGTTTGCCGAATTTGAAGAGAAGATCGCAAAGGGTTAGTGAAGGCATTGCCTTTTTAACTGCTCCTGTATCTGACCTAAATACTAGATTTTGACATCGAGAACGAGGCGCCCGATGAGGACGAACAGAGTGGGAGCGAAGAGTCGGCCGATGAAAACGCCGGAACAGAACATTATGTTGCTGTTGGGTATGCATTGATACTCGTTCCTGTGGCCGAATTGGTCTTCTAACCGCCCCGTAGGAAGAGCAAGCTCCGACAGAAAGACGCTATCGCACTGGGTCCTGAATACCGCGGCTCGCGTGTCAGCAGAGAAGCGCTAGAAGAAAGCAGCGAAGATGACGAGGAAGGCGATGAGGAGGACGAAGAATTCGACGACCCAGAAACAGCAGATCTCGAAGCCGATTACATTGACGACGACGCCGAGATCAGTAGTGATAACGCGCTTTGCGAGAGCGACGAAGAACACCTCAAGGATTTTGTCTTCCGCGGCAGCTCAAAGCCGAAGGCCCCGAATGGGCGGATCAAAAAGAGGCCGACCGCCGCAGACTTTATGTCTTCGTCGGGAGACGAGGATGATGAAGAGGAGGACCTCGATGGTGGAGATGAACTAGAAGCGTCCGAAGAAGGCTCAGAGCTTGATGGAGACGGCGCCCGCCTCTTTGATCTAGAGGCTGAGTTGTCTGGCGAGGACGACGAGGAAGAAGATGAGGATGATGAGGATGATGAGAACGAGGTTGACGAGGACGAGGATGAGGACGACGAGGATGATGAGGATAATGAAGAAGAAGAAGAAGGAAAGGAGAGTGATGGTGGGGATGAAGATGAAGAGGAGGAAGACGCAGGATCCGACGGCGGTGAACGTGCTCAACTACGGAAGATGGCGACCGAGGGGCAGAAGAGCATCGTAGCAGCCATGTCACAGGCTGCCAAAGCAGACGCGGAAAAGGGCGTAGCAGTGCGCGCCCAGCGCCGCGCGTTCGACTCCATCCTGAATCTCCGCATCCGACTCCAGAAGGCACTCGTGGCAGCAAACTCTTTTGGTGTCATTGAAAACAACCACGAGAACGGCACGGAGGCATACCACGCAGCTGAGGAGGCGGCCGTCAAGCTATGGAACACGATTGACAGCGTCCGGCACACCTTCATGCCCGAGAGCAGTAGGGCCAAGGTCGGGGACAAGAGGAAGCGCGGGATCGACGTGGACACCCCGAGCCAGGCTATCTGGGAAAGCATGCAAATGGTGGAAGAGGCCAGCCATTCCCACCGACGGAAAGTCCTCGACAAGTGGTCGGAGAGAGTAAAGAAAAGCAACGCCGCGCTCTCCACCAGAAAGCTCGTCAAGTCGGAAAGCCAAACGCTCGTCTCGGCGCTGGACGAACAGCTCCTAAGCTCGGAGCGGCTTGTCAAGCGCGCGCGGACACCCCGCTCCTGCGCGCCGGCGCAGGCAGCCAAGAAGGTGGAAGAAGATGCGCAAATTTATGACGACGCCGACTTCTATCAGCTCCTACTCAAGGAGCTTGTCGACCAGCGGAGCACAGACACGGGGGCGCCGGGCGAGTCGGTCGCGACGGTTCGGTGGGCGGCGCTCAAGGAGACTAAGACGCGGAAAAACGTCGACAGGCGAGCCAGCAAGGGGCGCAAGCTGCGGTATACGGTTCACGAGAAGCTGCAAAACTTTATGGCGCCCGAGGACAGGCGGCAGTGGGAAGAGCATGCGATCGACAGGTTATTTGGGACGCTGTTTGGGCAGAAGATGGAGTTGAGGGAGGAGGACGAAGTCCCGGACGAAGGAGATGGGCGGTGTTAATGTCGAAGAGGAGGGGTTACGGCTGATCCGAAGCTAGTCAGGATGTACTATGGTCAAAGCAAACTGTAGGCAAGCTTGGTGGGATACAATTCGAAGGAGGCGCCCCCATCTGCCCCCCAAACCATCTG